CTCAGTGTCCATGGGGATCCCTGGTATCCCTGGAACTGTGAGTCCCTGAGTGCCCCCAAGCCCCTGGAGTGACCTAGAGTTTGGAGGTCCCTGTGTACTCCTGAGCCCTCAAGGTCCCCCAGAGGTTCGGGGTCCCTGGGTGTCCTCAGAACCCAAAGGCTGGGGGTCCCTGGCTACCCCATATGTTGGGGGTCTCTGGGTGCCCCCAAGGCCTCAGGGTGTTTCTGAGTTTGGGGGTGTCTGGGTGCCCCTGAACCCTCAGAGCACCCCAGAAGTTGGGGGACCCTAGGTGCCCCCAAGGCCTCAGAGTATCCCTGAGATTGGGAGTCCCTGGGTGCCCCCTGAGCCCTTATTTTGGGGTTCTCTGTGTGACCTCTCAGAACTCTTGAGTTTGGGGGTCCCTGTGTGCCCCAGAGGTTGAGAGTCCCTGTGCCTCCTTGGAGCCTTGAGTTTGGGGGTCCCTGCTTGCCCTCAGTGCCTTCAGGTTGGGGGTCCCTGAGTGCCCTCAGTGCCCTGAGCTTGGGGGTCCCTGGGTACCCCTGAGACTGGGGGTGTCCCTGGGTACCCTCAGAGCCCCAAGAATGGGGGTCTCTGAGTACCCGAGTTTGGGAGTCCCTGTGTGCCCTCAGACCCCCAAGTTTGGTGTCCCTGTGTACCCCGAATCCCCCCCATGTCCCCAACCCATTCATAGGGGGTGTAGGACCCCCCTGTCCCCCACCCTGGGCCAATCCCAAGCTGATCCCAGGCTGATCCTGTATCCCACAGCCGCAGGTCTGTACTACCTGGCGGAGCTCATTGAGGAGTACACCATGGTCACCAGGAGGGTCATCAAATATATGATCTGGGTGAGTTTTGGGGTCAGTTTGGGTGATTTGGGGCCAAATCCCTCCTGGGGAGGAGGCAGAGAAGCTGTGCCATGGGGTGGAGGGAACAAACACTTGGGAAGCTCCTGCTTCCCAGAGGGAATGTGGCAGGAGCTGCTTCTATCACTCCTTGTCTGATCCTGGGGGGTTTGGGTGAGTTTCTGGGATCTTTGAGTCATTTGGGGGTGATTTTGGGCCAAATTCCTCTTAGGGGAAGGAGGATCCTGGGGAAGAGGAAGGGGAAGAGTAGCAATGTCATGGTATGGAAGGAAGAAACCCTTGGAAAGCTCCTAATTCCCAGAGGGAATGTGGCAGGAGCTGCTTCCGTCACTCCTTGTGTAACCCTGAGGGGTTTGGGTGATTTTTGGGTGAGTTCCTGGGGGGCTTGGGAGTGATTTTGGGCCAAAATTCCTCCTGGGACAGCAGCTGTGTCACGGGATGGAGGGAAGAAACCTTGGGAAGCTCCTGATTCCCAGAGGGAATGTGGCAGGAGCTTCTTCCATCACTCCTTGTTTGACCTGAAGGTGTTTGGGTGACTTTTGGGGTCACTTTTTGGGTGAGTTTGGGTGGTTCTTGGGTCGTTTTGAGGTGATTTGGCCAAAACCCTTCCTGGGGGATGGCAGAGCTGTTGTGCCATGGGGTGGAAGGAACAAACCCTTGGGAGGCTGCTGATTCCCAAGGGGAATGTGGCAGGAAATGCTTCCACTACTCTTTGCTTAACCCAAATGTGTTTGAGTGACTTCTTGGGTGATTTCTGTGTGAATTCAGGGTGATTTGGGGTCAAAATCCCTCCTGGGAGAGCAGCTGTGCCATGGGATGGCGGAACAAACCCTTGGGAAGCTCCTGATTAGCAGAGGCAATGTGGCAGGTCCTGCAGCATCCAGGTGGGATTCCTGCTTGGAAGGTGCAGCAGCATCCAGGTGGTATTCCTGCTTGGAAGCTGTAGCATCCAGGTGGGATTCCTGTCTGGAATTTGAATCCGTTGGAAGCTGCAGCATCCAGATGGGATTCCTGCTTGAAAACTGCACATCCAAGTGGGATTCCTGCTTGGAAGCTGCAGCATACAGGTGGGATTCCTGTCTGGAATTTGAATCCTTTGGAAGCTGCAGCATCCAGGCGTGAATTCCACAGGAGCTGTAGAATCCCAGTAGGATTTCTGTCTGGAATTTGAACCCTTTGGAAGCTGTCAGTGCCCTGTGGGGGGTTGTGGCCCTCAGCATTCCTTTGCCCTGTGCTCCCAGTTGATCCCAGTTCTTCCACTGCAGTTCTCCTCGGCCGTGCTGGTGGGGCTGTACCTGTTTGAGCACTTCCCAGGATTCCTGGTGGGAATGGGACTCTTCTCCAACCTGGTCTACTTTGGATTGCTCCAGACCTTCCCCTTCATCGTCCTCACCTCCTCCAACTTCATCCTCTCCTGTGGTGAGGGGGAGAGAATCCCACCCTGGAGGGGCTGGGAATGGGCTCGGGGCAGGGGAAGGCTCATCCTGCCATTCCCAGTGGGACAGGAAAGGGTTGGGAATTGCTGTTATCACCTGGAAGGACTTTGAGCCTTGAGTGACACCTTGATTGCAGGTGGTGATGTGGCATGGGGAGCTGGGAATGATGGGATTTCCTGGAATTCTGGGTGTTCCAGGGAATGCTGAGTTTTCCTGGGAATTCCAGGCTTCCTGGGCAGCCTCAGGGAGTCCCAGACTGGTGTGGGCTGGGAGGGACCCTGAATCGCACTCAGGGACACCTCCCACCAGCCCAGGTGTCTCCAAGCCCCATCCAACCTGGCCTGGAACACTCCTAGGGATGGAGCAGCCACAACTGCTCTGGTCCCTCAGAGTGACCTGGAGTTTGGTCTCCCTGGGAGTAGGGGTCTCTGGGATTGGGGCTCCCTGTGTGCCTCCAATTTGTTGGCCACTGCTCACCCCACTGATCCCCTTGCATCCCCTTAAGGATGATCAGATTTCCAGGTGTGAGGATCTGTGAGACACAGGTCCAGGAGGGCCGTGTCCTCCCTCTATGCCCTGGGAACATTTCTGTGGACCATGTCCAGGTCCTCCCTGACCCTCCCTGTGTTTCCCTTGGCAGTGCTGGTGCTCCTCAACCACTACTTGGCCTTCCAGTTCTTTGCTGAGGAGTTCTACCTCTTCTCCGAGGTGAGGAACCTTGAGAAGGGGCTCAGCCCTGCTTTTCCCACCTGGGAAGGGGCTCATCCTTCCCTGAGGGACCCTTGGGAAGGGGCTGGTCCCTGAGGGACCCTCGTAGAAGGGGCTGATTGGGAAGGGGCTGATCCTTGAGGAGCCACTGAGAGACCCCTGGAAATGGGCTCATCCATCCCTGATGGACCCTTGGGAAGGGGCTGATCCACCCCTGAGGGACCCCTGGAAGGGGCTGATCCCTGCTTTTCCTACCTCGGAAGGGGCTGATCATCCCAGAGGGACCCCTAGAAGGGGATGATCGTGCTTTTCCCACCTCAGAAGGGGCTGGTCCATCCCTGAGGGACCCCTGGAAGGGGCTGATGCCTGCATTTCCCACCTGGAAGAGGCTCATCCCAGAAGAATGCTTGGGAAGGGGTTGCTGGAAAGGGGCTCATCCCTGAGGGACCCTTGGGAAGGGGCTGATTGGGAAGGGGCTGATCCATCCCTGAGGGACTCTTGGGACAGGCTGATCCATCCCTGAGGGACCCCTAAGGGTTTATCCCTTATCCCTTATCCCAAGGCAGTGCGGTCACAGCCCCTGGGAAGCTCCTGAGAGCTAGAGTTGGTTCTCCCCCTCTCCCTGGGGGATTCCAGGTGGGATTTGGGGGGATGTGGCCTCACTGCCTGTCTCTGCTCTTCCCTGCACATAGGTCTTGGCCTACTTCACCTTCTGCCTGTGGCTCATTCCCTTCGCCTTCTTCGTGTCCTTGTCGGCAGGAGAGAACGTCCTGCCCTCCACTGTGCAGCCTGGGGGTGAGGGACAGGGGGAGACATGGAATCATGGAATGGTTTGGGTTGGAAGGACCTTAAATCCCACCCAGGAACAGTTCCCAGCAGTCCAGGTCGATCCAGGCCCCATCCAACCTGGCCTGGAACACTCCCAGGGATGGAGCAGCCACAGCTGCTCTGGGCAGCCTGTTCCAGTGCATCACCATCCTCACAGCCAGGAAGTCCTTCCCAGTATCGCACCTATCCCTGCCCTTTGGCACTGGGAAGCAATTCCTTGTGTCCCGGCCCTTCACGCCTTGTCCCAAGTCCCTCTCCAGCTCTCTTGGAGCTCCTTGAGGCAGTGGAAGGGGCTCTGAGGTCTTCCTGGTGCATCTCTTCTCCAGGCTGGACATTGCCAGTTCTCCCAGCCTGACTCTGTGGCAGAGGGACTCCAGAATCCTGGAATGGTTTGGGTTGGAAGGACCTTAAGTCCCATCCAGGGATGCTTCCCACCAGCCCATGTTGCTCCAATCTCATCCAGCCTGGCCTGGAGCACTTCCAGGGATGGAGCAGTCACATCCAGCCCCACAAAACCAGGGATCCTTTGGGATCCCATCACCATTCCCAGTGTTGTGAGTGACCCTTTCCCTTCTCTCCACAGATGATGTCGTGTCCAACTACTTCACCAAGGGGAAGAGAGGAAAACGCTCTGGGATCCTCCTGATCTTCTCCTTCATCAAGGAAGCAATCCTGCCCAGCAGGCAGAAGATCTACTGAGCCCTGGGATCATCCAGAGGCTCCAGGGATGCACCTGGAATATCCCAAACTGTGCTGAGGTCCCTACACCTCACCCCACCCCTCCTCCACCATTCCCAAAGGGATTTTCTTTGGAACACACAGACTGGGACACACCTGGTGGTGCCATACACAGGGAAGGCTCAGCCCTTCCCCTCCAGCCCTGCTGATCCCTTGGGAATGTGGCCAAGGAGGAGGTTTGGCTCTCGTTGAGCCAAGGAGGGTCCAGCCCCAGCGCTTCCTGCCCGGCTCGGGGATCTGGGAATGACACCTGGAAGGAATTGCTCCCCAAAAGTGTGCCCTGGGGAAGCTTCTCCCTCCCTGTGGAAGCAGGAAAGGCTCCAGGTTTTCCAGAGGTTTGCACACAGCCATTCATTAAAGAAAACCAGGAGAAGTTGGGCTCAATCTGGAGCATTCCTGGGGAGCAGGAGGGTGGGGCCTGTGAGAGGTGACCTGGAAGGATCTAGTGATCCTCTGTTGTCCCATTTTCAAGTTAGGAATTCCTGGTTTTCTCCCTGGTTTAGTTGGGAGCGTCCAGGATGCTCCAGGGGCTGGAGCAGAGCGCTTGGAAGGTATTCCTGGAGGAATTCTGCACTCCATGGGAGGCTCTTTGGCTTCTTCTGGGGGTGTGCTTGGCATTCCCAGTGTTCCTGCGCTCTCCAGACCTCCCTCAGTTTCCAAAGGGAAGGAAAAGGTGGATGATAGGACTGAGGACAGTGTCTGCTTGGCATTCCCAGTGATACTGAGCCTTCCTCCTTTTCCAGAGGGAAGGAAAGGTGGATGATGCAACTGAGGAAGGTGTGTGCTTGGTATTCACAGTAATCCTGAGCTCTCCAGGTCTCCATTCATTTCCCATAGGGAAGGAAAGGTTGGATGATGGTACTGGGGAGAGTTTCTGTTGGGCATTCCCAGTGCTCCTGAGCCTTCCTGCTTTTCCACAGGGAAGGAAAAGATGGATGATGGGACTGAGGACAGTATGCTCCGCATTCCCAGGGCTCCTGAACTCTCCAGGCCTCCCTCGATTCCCAAAGAGAAAAAAGAGGAAGGATCCAAAGGCCTTTGTGGTTCCAGGGTGGAAGTGAAGATGATCAGGAGCTTCCCTGTCCCTCCTGATTCCTTGTTTTCCTTTTCCCATCCCTCAGACAGACCCAGGGTTGGTTCCTTGTATTTTTCCAGCTGCCAAGTCCATGTTTTCCTGCCTGGATCACATTCAAGACACATTTCCTTCAGCTGAAACCAGATTACAGGGAAGTTATGTAATCCTATAAATATTTCACCAGGAAAAGGAGCAGGAAAAGCCCTTCCAAGGGGAAAGCCTGCATGGAACAGAGGACCAACCTGGAATCCATCCCTGCCTCAGGCAGGGCAGGGACGGGTGAAACCACCCTCAGGAGCCCAAACTTTGGGATAGAATGCCCCATTCCTTGTCTTGGAACACAGGGAATTTGGGGGGTGAGGTGGGAATGCTCTAGACTTTGTCTGAAAGGGGGCTGGGAGATGTTCCAGCTGGAAACTCAGTGCGGATTAGCACTTGGATGGAGGATTTGGTTGTGATTGTGTTCTGCTCCATCCCTGGAAGTGATTTGCCATCCATGGAAGTGATCCCTCATCCCTGGAAGTGATCCCCCATCCCTGGGAGTGTTCCAGCCCATGTTAGATGGAGCTTGGAGGCACCTGAGCTGGTGGGAGCTGTCCTTGGAGGGAAGCAGATGAGCTTTAAGGTCTCTCTGATCCCAAATTCCGTGGCTCTATTTAAAAGTCACGGATCACTCCTGAGACAGAAGCATCTCTGCCTGCTCCTGCCTCCCATCCCTGGAGATCATCGATTTTCATGGCTGTTTGGAAGAGGCTATGAGGGGAGAGGAGCTCAGTCGATCCTGAGCGAGGAGGGCAGGAACCACCTTTGGGCACTGACCTTTCCCGAGCCCGGAGGGAGGGGAGGGAAAGGGGAGAGGCAGAAGGGGATGGGAATGCCCCCAAAACCTGGACTGGGAGGAATTCGGGAAGGAGGAGCCAAGCCTTAACCTCCCTGAGTGCTCTGGGCTGGTCCCTGCGGCTCTGTGCCCTTTTCCAGGACAAGGATCCACTCTCCACGCTGGGGTGGTGCTAGGGTGGGGATGGATGTGACCTCTCCGTGTGTGCTTCCTGCAGGGGAGCCCTCGGGAATCCACAGAATCCAAAGGCCAGGAGAAGCTGTGGATAGTTAGGGAGATTGCTCTGTGCCTTAAATGTTTCAGTTGGAGTTGTTGATGCTTGTGAGGAGGGAAAAAATGTGAGAAAACAGCTGTGGATTGGTGTGTTGGAGTACAGAGACATTCCCTGGGGGTTTCCAGGTCAGGGATAGGTGGATATTGGGAAGGAATTCCTGGCTGTGAGGGTGGTGAGGGGCTGGAATGGAATTCCTAGAGCAGCTGTGGCTGCTCCATCCCTGAAAGTGTTCCAGGCCAGGTTGGATGGAGCTTGGAGCCACCTGGGTTAGTGGGAGGTGTCCCTACCCATGAATTGATGGATGTAAGGTCCTTCCAACCCAACCCAGTGTGGAATTCCATGACAGCCCTTCTGGAAATCACAAGGCTCGAAACCAAGCCTGGGAACTAAGAGCACCATCCTGGTATGTCCCAGGCAGATGAGTGTCCCACTCTGGTCCCACCGCATCCCCGTTCCAGGACCAGTTTGCAGCTCCAGTTCCATCCCAGCCCCATCTTGCTGGCCCAGGAGACAGTGATGACATGGTTCCACCTCACTTTAATGGAAGCTCAGGAGCATGGAAGCAGCTGGAAAACACGGTGGGAGCCTTTGAAAGTGCCATGGGAGCTGTCCCTATCCAGTGTCACCTTTGTCTCTAGCCAGGTGGGTCCGGGGACGTGTCCTGGGCAGGCCACCAGCCACCCTGGGCCTGAAGGGAATGCTGTCCCTGTCCCCTGGAAAGCTCCTGGATGGATCCATGTTCATATTCCCTGGAAGGGAGGGATGGAGAGGGGTGAGAGCAAGAGCAGAGCTCATGGGGATCTGTGTCAGCACCCAGGAGGGGACAGAAAGGGGAGAGGTGTGGGTGTCACCTCCATGGGGACATTCCCACTCCAGGGGGGGCATCCAACCCAACTCATGCATCCCTAATCCATACCAGGCTCTGGGTTCCTTGCAGCTTCATCCTGGTGCTGCATTGGGGAGATGGAGGTGGTCTTGGAGGTACCCGTGGAGGTACCCAGGGAAGTGTCCACAGAGGTGGTCAGGGAGGTACTCATGGAGGTGGTAATGAAGGTACCAGTGGAGGTGCCCATGGAGGTAGTCATGGGCATGCCCACAGAAGTGGTGATGGAGTTGGTTATGAGTGTGCCCACAGAAGTGGTCATGGAGGTGTCCACAGAGGTGGTCATGGAGGTGCCTATGGAGGTACCCACAGAAGTGTCTGTGGTGGTGCCAATGAAGGTACCTGTGGAGTCACCCATGGAAGTGCCCACGGAGGTCTCCACGAAGCTGTCCAAGGAGCCATCCAGGGCCCTGCGGCGCCGCTGCAGGATGGTCTCCAACTGCCTGTCCCTGGTCCTGGTACTGCTCCTGCGCCCACTGCGCCTCCGGCTCACCCTCCTCATGGCCCCCTGCACACAGCCAGGCCTCAGGGGCCATCCTGCC